AAGAGAATTGAATACTCGGATAGTTAATACAAATAAGAATTTAAGCCGAAAAGTAAACATCTCATGGTCAACAGTTCAGTTTGTGTTTAAGTAACTCTGTATAAAAGTGAACAGCCCTTTATCAAATCCTACTCTAGGCTATTCTTAAACATTTAGTGTGAGTCTTATGGCAGCTGTGGGTGCTCAGATAAGACCTCAGGTCAACCATCAAATGATTAGTAACGACAGGACGAAAGGTCATAGCATGTTTGTAACTACAACAGGAGTGCTGATAAATCTCTACAAATCTGTGCCATAAAGGGACGAATTATCTCACAGTGTAGAGGCAATGGAAATTGTATCATAAATCTGCAGTCTGGCCTGTCAACATTATTAAGGTTTCAAGGAAGAGTGTAACAATTGTCAGGAGAGAAATTACACTAAGAGAAATGAAATAAGTCAAACTGGCAGTATTTTCCCTTTGTCATTATGGTAAGTACTGTAGAGCTGTGCAACTGCAAAGTATAATTGAAGATAAATCAGCCAACAATAAATTAAGCTTGACCAAACTGACTTTCTTGTACGCCTGACTAGATTTTGAAGCTGCCGTACTGTGTCAACTGACAATGGCAGTACCAGAACTGGCAACGTCTACTAATGATGAACTGTCGTAATGCAAACTTCTCTACCATGAAAGGTGGTTGATTTGTTTCAGTTGAAGCCAGTTTCATAGCACCTTTAATAATAGCACAATAACTTTAAACTTTAGTGATTGAAACTATAATTTGTTCCTGTTACTTCTCTTCAAGCACACCTTCCTAACCTGGGTGGAGAAGAGACATCAGTTTGCTGTCACTGAGACAAATGTTCATTGTATAACAAAGATATGTTACTCTTGACAGCTTGTTGGCTGTATTGAGAAGCATAGTGGTACAACATAGGGACATCAGTTCAAATTTAGTGCTGAAAGACAATGTGGCAGGCTTAGAGTTCCGGCATCATCACTAACAATGAGGATCAAAGAAAAAGTCAAATGAAACTGTGCTCTTAACAGAAATAAAACCTGGACTGTTGATAAAAAGCCCAACCAATCAAGGAGGTGAAATAAAATCTAGGAATCCATCAATCACTTAGATGGAAACCAGCGTTGACAGCTATGAAACACAAAACTGCCCTTTGTTTCTGGAGTTGCAATGAAAACTGAGACGTTGATTTGAACCTGGCAATTGAGTACGCCTGACCAGAGAATGGCCATTCATAATCTCTATAAAAATATATTTTTAGTCAGTAAAAAGCACCATACTAAATGATCAAAACAGTAAACAACATCACTCTTGTGTCTGGACGTTGAATAACAAATAGAAATATATTTCAGAAATTGACATTTTCAATTTCCTGGATGTTTAAAAATAAAACATTTTTCTAAAAGGAAACAGTATTTGTGGTATTTATTTTGCCCACTGCTTTTAAACTGGGGCTAGATTCCTGAAAATAGGAGAACTCTGAATGATTTACAGGGATGTACTCCTTTTTTTTTTTTTTGAAGAACAAGGTACATACGTCTGACACCTTAGAACATGATAGGTAAGAAAATGCTGGCAAACTCTCAGAAATCTCAGAAGAAGGAAGTAGTCTTTTACACTACCAGGAACATGCACTTATTAATCTAAGTTTCCTTTTCTTTTTATAGCTTAAACAGATCTGACATAGTGTGTGTGGCCAGTCTAGTGCAGTCTCTTCCCATTTTGTAACACAACGCCACAAAAAAGGGCTGTTGTCCTAAAGAAATCATATTATAAGAAGACAGATCCCTCAAGCTCTAAACACTACTTCAATTTTAACACATTATCACACATTACCTTGGCCTTCCTTGAAAGAAAAAAACAAGATATTATTGGAGCTTTTGAAGTAGTAGCTCCTGTAATTGGAGGCTTTAGCTGAATGTGCAGCCCATCCAAATTGCAATTCCAATGAGCTGCCTCCAAGCAAAAATGCTTGTATTGCCAATCTACTAAGAAATGGGACAAGAGAATCAGACAGAGCTCCATGAAGGTCTTAAACAAAGAAAAATCTCTCAGCACAATCTAATTACCATGGTACACAGCATAACTAGCTTCCTGGACTACAGCCATAAAACAGTCTATCACACAGCATCGTTTTCCCAATTAGCCAAGAAAACTGACTTAAAACCTATAAAATTGGTGTGAAATATTAGCCTTCAGAATAAGTTCATGAAGTGATCAGCTTAGTAAAAGAACTCAAACTCTTAAATTGATGCCAATTCCACCCTCCAAAGAATTGATGTAAAGTATTTATGAGTGTAAAATTCCTCAAAAAATCCTTAAAAAAATCAATCTTTGATCAGTTTTTGCATTGAAAATTTGATATCTGATAAGCAGTGTTGCTGATCTTGCAGCTTTACCCCAACACTGAGATTTAAGTCTCACAAAGACTCAAAAAAAGATGGATGAGCTCAGTACACTAAGTGCAATAATCCTAGTTCAGCCTGGGGCTCACTGTATTCACGGAATGAAGAGACCTGTCTTCACTCATGGATGGCTTTTTACTTTGAAGCCTGGGGCGAGGTACATGTTAAATAATCATTTTAATAAAAGGCACAATAAGCATGGGGGGAGTCTTTCATGCTGAACACAACAGAGTTAACGATATAGAAAAGGTTTTATTTACTTGTTTTCAGTCTTTTTTTCAAGTACAGTTAGTAAAATGTTAATTTCAAGTATTATTGTTGCCACATTCCAAAAAATAAATGCCTTATTTGCATAGCTAATAATATCTCACTCAATGAAGAGG